TTGAGGTTTGTCAGTCTAGCAATGAATTTGTACTTCTTAATCTCTTCAAGTTTTTCACCCATTCCCCCACCCCCAACTGGCAACCAACAAAATGTTCTCTGTATGAGAATGTTTCTGTTCTACCTGTTCATTTTGTTTGTAGATTCCATTGTTGATAGATATACATTCATTGCCATTTTGTTTGTTCATATATTTTATCTTTTTCTTCAAAAAGACCCTTCATCATTTCATATAATAACGGTTTGGTGGTGATGAACTCCTTTAACTTTTTCTTGTCTGGGAAAGTTTTTATATGTCCATCGATTCTAAATGACAGCTTTGCAGGATAGAGTAATCTTGGTTGTAGGTTCTTGCTTTTCATCACTCTGAATATTTCTTGCCACTCCCTTCTGGCCTGCAAAGTTTCTTTTGAGAAAGCTGACAGCCTAATGGGAACTCCCTTGTAGGTAACTAGCTGCCTTTCTCTTGCTGCTTTTAAGATTCTCTCCTTGTCTTGAACCTTTTGCATTTTGCTGATGATGTGTCTTGGTGTGGGCCTCTTGGGGTTCATCTTGTTTGGGACTCTCTGTGCTTCCTGGACTTGTATGCCTGTTTCCTTCACCAAGTTAGGGAAGTTTTCTGCCATTATTGTTTCAAACAGGTTTTCGATTTCTTGTTCTCGCTCTTCTCTTTCTGGCACCCCCAAGATGCGAATGTTGGCACGCTTGAAGTTGTCCCAGAGGCTCCTTACACTATCCTCATTTTTTTGGATTCTTTTTTCCTTTTGCTGTTCTGAATGGGCATTTTTTGCTTCCTTAAATTCCAAATCGATGGTGTGCTCCTTGGATTTACGTACTCTATTACTGAAGCCCACGGCTTTTTTTATTTTTTATCAATGGTTGATTCTTGTATGTGTTCCGATCAAGGATTGAAACTGCAACTTTAGCACATGCGGACAATGCTCTAACCGAGTTACCTGGCCAGGGCTAGCTGTATTTCCCATGGGTGCTCAGCACTTGAAATTAGGCCAGACTGATCTGAGGAACTAATTTACATTTCATTTAGTTTGTTTAGATTGAAGAGCCTTAGGAGGGTGTTGGCCACCATCTGGGACAACACAGAGGGGACAGGCAAGAACCCGCGCCACTGCATATTACCCTCCTCTCCTCTAGCTCAGAGACCCCCACATCCAAGTTTATTTATTTATTATTATTTTTTTATTCCTCACCCAAGGATATTTTTCTATTTATCACTAGATAGAGTGGGAAGGAGGGAGAGACAGAGAAACATCGATGTGATAGACAAACATTGACTGGTTGCCTCCCACATGACATGACCAGTGCCGGAGATGAACCGCACTGAGGTATATGCCCTGGACCGGAATAGAACCCACAACCCATTGGTCTGCAGGCTGATACTCTAACCGCTGAGCCAAACCAGCCAGGGCCCCACATCCAGGTTTATACTGGAGGGTGTAGGGTGGCCCAGAGGAGCGCCAACTTTTTTCTTTATCCTCACCTGAGGACACTTTTTGCATTTATCTTCAGATAGAGCAGGAGGAAGAGAGGGGAGGGGGGAGGGGGAGAGAGAGAAACATCAATGTGAGAGAGACAAATCGACTGGATGCCACCCACACAACCTCAATGGGGGGCTGGGGACAAACTACAACTGAGGTATGTGCCCTTAGCGGCAACTGAACCCAGGTCTCTTTGGTCCACGGGCTGATGCTCTAACCGCTGAGCCAAACTGGCCAGGACAAGGAGCCCCAACTTTTGATTCAATGCAGAAAAATGAGGCAGAATCCACACCCAGTTGTGACAAAAGCTGACAGAAGGGCAGGGGCTTCCCCTCTTGATACAGAATAGCCCCCCAAACCACATCTCAGGCATAGATAAGAAGTGGCCATGGCAAGTCAAGACACTTTGCAACAGCAGCCATCATCCCTGCAGAAACTTTCTAAGCCAGAAAAAGAGACCATGTGCCAGTAAACTACAGCTTGGTGCTGTTTTTGCAAAGATTAGTAGGCACACAGCTATAGGCTCTTGTTGACATGCCACCCTTGTGTGTCAACTTGTGTCCTGCAGAGCTGGGTCACTGCAACTCTGAAAACTCTGGCCCTTTACACAAAAAAAGTGCTGACCTCTGATCTACATTTTTTAAAAATACATCTTTATCGATGTTTTAGAGAGAAAGAAAAACATCAATTGGCCGCTCCTGCACGCCCCCTACTGGGGATCAAGCCCGCCACTTGGGCATGTGCTCTGACTGGAAATCCAATGGGGACCTCTTAGTCCATGGGACAACGCTCAATCCACTGAGCCAACACTGGCTGGGCTGATCTACATTTTTACTTTTTAAAAATCCTCACCCAAGCCCTGGCCAGTTTGGCTCAGTGGTGGAGCGTCGGCCTGCAGACCAGAGAGTCCTGGGTTCGGTTCCCACTAGGGGCACGTACCACACAAAAAAAAATCCTCACCCAAAAATAATTTTCCTCCATTTATCTTCAGAAAGAATGGGAGGGAGGGAGAGAGACACTGATGCCAGAAACACACATCAACTAGCCACCTCCCGCACGACCCCAACCAGGGCTGGGGACCGAACTGCAACCTAGGTCCCTGATCAGAATCAAACCCATGACTCTTTGGTCCGAGGGTTGATGCTCTAACTGCTGAGCCAAACCAGCCAGGGGCTGATCTACATTTTCAAAAGTACAAAAGAATTAACAGACAAAATAGTCCCTAGTTCAGCTGGATAGCAGCTTTTCACTATTGGCGTTAGTAAGCAAATGTCATGAAAACCACCCCCTTTTTGGATGCAAAAGCATCTCCAGAACCTGGTGGGTCTGCAAACACTGACCCCCAACTTGTTAGAGGTACCTTTACAGTGTGGGCTAGCTTCAGGCTCACACGTCCCAGTCGTAGGTGACTATGTGAGTGCCAGGTCTCCACCTCATCCCACCTGTCCCCCAGGAGCCCCAAGGTGGGGGTCACAGAGAAATGGCCCACCCAATCTCAGGCTGTGCTTGGTGGCATAGACAGAATCTGGTCCCCAAGGAACAAAGGGGAGCTAGGTGCTGCTGGGAGGAAGGCAGAGAGGCCACAGCAAACTCCCCCACAGGTGATAACAACGTCCATGCCCTCTGCAGCTGGAGACCTAACCAAGGGCGTATGGGGCCCTTCACAAAGGGACACAACAGGTTCTCACTAGCTTCTATTCATTCGAAGAGTAAATGTTCAAGAACAGCCAAGACATTGTGTATGTGTGGTAAAATATACACAAACTTTATCATCTTAACCATTTTTTATATATATTTAATTTTTAAAATGTTTATTGGTTTTGAGAGAGAAGGGAGAGGGAAACATCAATGAGAAACATTGATTGGCTGCCTCCTGCACGCCCTCTACCGGGGATCAACCCTGCAAACCTGGCAGGTGCCTTGACTGGGAATAGAACCAGTGACCTCTCCATGCATGGGTCAACATTCAACCACACTGAGCCATACTTGCTGGGCCATCTTAACCTTGTTTTTTTTTAATTCTCACCTGAGGATATTTTTCCATTCATTTTCAGACAGAGTGGGAGGGAGACAGAAACATTGATGTGAGACACACATTGATTGGTTGCCTCCCACACTACCCTGACCAGGGCCCAGGACCAAACCACAACCGAGGTGCCTGCCCTTGACAGAAAAGGAACCTGCAACTCTTTGGTCCCCAGGCTGACATTCTAACCAGTAAGCCAAACCACCCAGGGTCCATCTTAACCATTTTTGCCCCCTTTACTGATTTGAGGGGGTGGGGGGAAAGGGAGAGAGAAAAACATCAATGAGAGCCCTGGCCGGTTTGGCTCAGCGATTGGAGCGGCCTGCGGTCCAGAGAGATCTGGGTTCAGTTCCCGCTAAGGGCGTGTACCTCAGTTGAAGTTTGTCCCTGGCCCTGGTTGGTCGTGCAGGTGGCAGCCACTCGATGTGTCCCTTTCACGTCGATGTTTCTCTCTCTCTTCCTCTCTCTCCCTCCCACTCTATCTGAACAAAAAATGGAAAAATGTCCTCGGGTGGGGAAAAAAAACACATCAATGAGAGAGAACATCGATTGGCCACCTCCTGCATACCCCACACTGGAGATCAGGCCCAAAAACTGGGCATGTGTCCTGACCAGAAATTGAACCAGTGACCTCTTCGTGCATAGGTCAACACTTAAACACTGAGCCACACCATCTGGACCCATCTTAACCATTTTTAAGTGCACAGCTCAGTGGCATTAAGCACATTCACAACGTTGGCCAGCCATCATCACCATCCTTCTTAGAACTTTTTCATCTTCCCAACTGGAACTCTGTTCCCATTAAACACTAACTCTCCTTCCCGCTCCCCTAGGCCCTTGCTCCCATCATCTACTTTCTGTCTGAGTCTGACTCCTCTAGGGACCTGCCATGTGGAATCACAGTGTTCTTCTGTGCATAGCTTATTTTGGAAATCAGTGTGTGCATATTTGGAGGGAAAACTTGTTCTAGCATTAGACATACTGTAAAATACTACTTTTAAAACCTAAATTGAGAATGGAAGAATCTTGAAACAAACCATCTGTAGTCTACATAGGAGAAGCAATCCAGGGAGGCCACCAAAGGACCTGCCACGCACCCTACTACAGTGCCAAGATCATTGTCTGGGGGAAAATGACATCCCTGGATCACAAATGCCAGGACTTAATGCCTGGGTGTAAATACTACACATATAACTGGTGTTTTAGGTTAGGCGAAACTGTTTACTCAAAATATCTTTCATTTTAGCCCTGGCCAGTTTGGCTCAGCGGTTAGAGCGTCGGCCTGGGGTCCGGAGAGACCCGGGTTCGGTTCCCGCTAAGGGCACGTACTTCGGTTGCAGTTTGTCCCCGGCCCTGGTTGGCCGTGTGGGTGGCAGCCACTCGATGTGTCCCTTCACGTCGATGTTTCTCACTCTCTCTCCCTTCCTCTCTCTCCCTCCCACTCTATCTGTACAAAAAATGGAAAAATGTCCTCGGGTGAGGATAAAAACAAAAACAAAAACAAAATATCTTTCATTTTAAAACATCCAGCATTCAACACCAACTCAAAATATATGCGTTTTAATATCCCTACCTGCTGCCCTCAGAGTGCTCAGGCAGTCAAGGACAGGGCCACTATGAGGGGCTGACCAGAGAACTCAAACCCAGGTCCAATTTGTGGAGAGCCAGCTTGGGGTTCCCAGGGGGAAAGTACCTAGGACTGTCTTGGTCACTGGCCTCCCCTCAGCATCTTGTTCCCTCCTAAGGAACCATTACATGGAACCCCAGGTGGGGCTCAATGTCCAGGTGAGGCCACAAGGACCTTCAGCCCAGGGAAAGCAAACATGCAGCCTGCTTTGGGTTCCACAGAAGCAGCAGGTAGGTTTCCAGGGTTGAGATTCCTGTAGGGCAGGCCATAGGCAGGCCAACTGCCTGGGTAAGGTGGTCACAGTCCATTAGTCTGTCTCCCAGGGGGCTGGAGGAGAAAGGAGAGGGCCATCACGTCATATGTCTGTTGAATGGGTTCGGCGCACCCAGGCTGCAGGTGCCACTGCCTCTGGGCCCCACAGGAGCTAGACAGTGACCAGCTGTGGCAGAACCTGAGAAGAGAGGGTTAGGGCCCCTCCCCAGGAGAAGACTGAGATGGCGAGGTCTAGAAAGAGGGGGCTGAGCTCAGGGCTCTGGGTCAAAACGTCAATGGGGTAACAGGTGGGGCTCACTCAGAGACTCAGGGAAAGTCAGGTCCTTCCTGCACCCTCAAAGCATATTCTGACATACCCCCACCCCTGCCCAGGACCCCCAGCTGGGGCAGCATCTGTCTCACCTGCCAGATGGTAGGGTGGCTACTGTACCAGCCGGTAGGTGATGTACCTGCCTGCGGTTTCGCTGGGCCGGATGATCTTCACTACCTGCATCAGGGTGAGAGCAGAGCTGGGCAGGGCCTTCCCAGGGACCCAGGTATATGTGTTGGGGGTGGGGGCAGGGCAGGTGGCCCCAGGACCCTGGGTAAGACCTGGGGGTAGCCTTGACTCTAAAAGAAGCCGGGGATGGGGTGGGGTCCTGAGGGTCTTGCCATGACAAAAAAGGCTAAGGGTGGGGCTTTCCTGCCAGGATGGGCCTCTTACCTGCCCTCGCTTTATTCCAAAGTAGCGTGCCACAGGGTCTCCAGCCTGGATCCTGGGCAGCTGGTTTTCTCGGAGTTTGCTGGGAAGCCCAGTAAGGAAAAAAAGCCATGCTGGGCTGGCTGAGAGGGGCAGAAAAGCCTGGAGAAGTGGGGAGGGGAGAGAATGGGAGGGGGGGACCAGAAAGGATACTATCTGGCCAGCAGCTCCGTCACCTCCTCCTTGGTCATGACGACATGCTCTGGGACCAGCTGCCAAGAGAATCTGTGTCTCCAGAGGGCCATGACAGACCTTGCTGTGCCCCCTACTCTCACACGAGGAAGGGTACAGTGTGCCCCTCAGGGAGTTTGCACCCCACAGGTGACCGTCATGCAGAGGCCTTGGGACACAACCTGGCTGGGATCCCCTGCTGTTCCCAAGAGAATAGCTGTATCCCCCCAACAAACACCCCCAGTTCAGCCAGGTGGGCTTGGGAACCTGAATTCTTAGCAAGGCCCCAAGTGAAGCTGCTGCTCAGGGCCACTCTTTGAGAGCCTGGTTCTACTTCCTTCACCATCTAACCCCTCCCCACTACCCAACTCCCCCCATCTTCCCTAGGCCCCACCTCGTGTTCTGTGATGTTGATGAGCAGCTCCTGCTGCAGAAACTGCTCCAGGATGTACTTGGGGGCCATGTCAACCAGGGACTGGAAGAGAGGATCCTTAGGCACAGCCACGCCTCCCACCTGGGACCACACCTCCCCAACCAGAGGGACTGGAGACAAGGTTCTGTTTCTTAGCCAGGACAAGTGGGAAGCTGAATGGGTTTGATCTTGTGCCTCAACAAGAAGCCAGGTATCATATGCCGGCAATTCCCATCCCACGTGGGTTTCTCCCCGCTGCCCCAGCACTTGGCACATCTACAGGCCTTAGCCTGGTGTCAGGAAATGAGTTTCCATCAGTCAAATGAGCCCAGGGGGTTGTCTGAGCTGATGGCCCCTCCCCAGGGAGGACCAAGATGGCGAGGACTCTGCAGGCACAGGGAAGATGGTCCATCCCACTTAGGCCTGTCTAACCAGACAGGGGACCTTGGACCTGCTCTGGGGATGCCCCAAGCCACCCACACAGGACAGAAACCCCTTCTCAGATCCAGAGCTCCCACATTAGGATGTGGGGCTAATGCCCCAAGGGGCAAAAGGCAAGTGCTGCTGAGGGTGCAGGGGATACCCTAGGTAAAGATTGAGACAGGGCCTTGCAGAGGTGCCTTAGGAAGGGGAAGTGAAGCTCCGGACAGAACAGGAAGGGAAGTGGTCAGGCTCATTGCTGTGGGTGTACCCACCTGCTTGGCAGAAGGTGTCATGCCCTGCTGTACTACGATGAGGGCTCGGGTGATGTTTTCCTCCTGCATGCGTTGACAGTACACCTTGATGGTCTTGATCCCCACCTTGGGCTCCTCTGCAGACAGAGCACGTGCTGGTCTACACTGCTAGGACCGTCATCTGCTTCTTCCCAGGTACACGTAGTACCCCTCTCTAGGGCCTCAGTTTCCCCACTTGCAGAACAGAGGGCGGACTGCCTCCATGTCACGTAGCAGTTGAAAGGTGCCTATGTCCCTGGACCTCAGGGGTCCCTGTCTAGAAGTGGGGTCTGGGTTTGGTTGGCTGCCTTACTGGTGCTGAGGTTTGGGAACCCCCAGGTTAAGTGGCTTGTTTAGTCTGGGAGCCCACAAGATGCATGGCTGGGTGTCCAGAGATGAGAAGAGGCTGGTGGATCTGCCATGGAGAGAGACCACCCACCCCCAAGGTGGGAGTCCTTACGTTCTCAGCAGCATTAGGGGCCCTGGGCTTTGTCACTGGAGAAGCAATGTACCCTATGAACCTAGCAGGTTAGCAACTGGGCTCCGGCCACCAGTATTCGTGCGAGCCCCCCAGCTAGGCCCCTATCTCTGTGCAGTGCAAATCACTCCACCGACGAGCAGTGTCTGGGCTGAATTATGTCCCCTAAAAATCCCCACGTATGAGTCCTAACCCCCAGGACCTCAGGTGACTATGTTTGGTAAAGGGGCCTTCAGAGATGATTAAGGTAACATGCAGTCATGTGTGAGCCCTGATCCATTCTAACTGGTGTCCTTCTAAGTAAGAGATTAAGACACAGATATTAGGAACCCTGTGAGGATACAGGGAGGAGATGACCACTGTCTATATGCTAAAGACAGAGGCATCAGGGGGAACTAACTCAGCAGACACCTTGATCTTGGACTTCTAGCCTCCAGAAATGGGGACAATAAATGTCTGTTGTTTAAGGCCCCATCTGTATTATTGCCCTGGCTGGTTTGGCTCAGTGGTAAGAGCTTTGGCCCACGGACCAAAGAGTCTTGGGTTCGATTCTGGTCAAGGACATACACCTGGGTTGTGGTTTGGGCCCAGACCCTGGCCCTGGCCCGCGTCATGTGGGAGGCAGCCAGTTGATGTACCTCTCTCACATCAATGTTTCTCTCTCTCCCTCCCACTCTATCTTTTTTTTTTTTCTTTATCCTCACCCGAGGATATTTTTCCATTTTTTGTACAGATAGAGTGGGAGGGAGAGAGAGGAAGGGTGAGAGAGTGAGAAACATCGACATGAAGGGACACATCGAGTGGCTGCCACCCGCACGACCAACCAGGGCCAGGGACAAACTGCAACCGAAGTACGTGCCCTTAGCGGGAACCGAACCTGGGTCTCTCCGGACCGCAGGCCGACGCTCTAACCGCTGAGCCAAACTGGCCAGGTCCCTCCCACTCTATCTTAAGATAAATAGAAAAAGTATCCTTGGGTGAAGATTAAAAAAAAAAAAAAAAGTACTATTTTGTTATAGTGGCTCCAGCAAAGCCATACAGGCAGAAACCTGTCCTGTAGTATGTCCCAGAGGATCAGTGACATCCCGTGTCACCAAACACCAGGAAATGTATCAAGAACTCCTACTCCAGGGAGGATCTGATCCCTGGCAGTTGGAGGCCTGTGATTAGGCATTAAGGTCTCAAATAATCACATCTCATACACAGGGACACCACTTTTCTTAAAAAATGCCACCAGGTTCTGCTCTGCAAATGTTTTCTGCCCATCCACTTTGTTCTAGGTACATAGTTGACACCAAGGTGATCACAGCCTGGCCCCCCAACTTTTGCAGGCCTGAAAGCCAGGCTGTCTCAGAGGGATAAATGCTAACAGAGAGGAACACAAGGATCTCAGGACACCCCTCAGTGGGCTCTTTGCTCAACTCAGAGCTCAGGGGATGGGGTTCCAGAAGAGGAAGCACCTGAGCTTGGTCTTCAGGGATGATGACTGGACACCGAGCAGGCAGTAAGGAGGAAAGAATGTGGTGAGGCAGGGGGCAGGCAGGGATCAGGCAAGAACCCTGCAACAGTGCAGGAAGGAGCTGCAGGAAATGCAGGTGCTGAAATGAAAGCTGAGCTGGCAGTGGATGTCTGGAGGTTGGGTGTGGGGAGGAGACGGTGGGTCTGAGGTCAGGAGGAGCTAGGGGCTTGCCTGCACAACTGATAATCTTGGGCAAAGAAAACAGCCAAGGGCCCTGGCCGGTTTGGCTCAGCAGTTGGAGCGTCAGCCTGCGGGCCAGAGAGTTCCAGGTTTGGTTCCTGCTAGGGGTACGTACCAAAAAAAAAAAAGAAAACAGCCAAAGAATAGAGAACAGGGTAGGGGACTGAGAAGGAAACTGGAAAAGGCACTTAGAAGGGTCAGAGATCAGTGGCATTGCCCACAGTACACAGGATGAGGGGGAGCTCTCTCCTGTGGGTCACACAGCAGAGAATGTTATAAGCTGCATCCTAAGCACGTCTTCAGATGGCTCTACCAGAACACTGACCCCTTGGGCACCAGCAAGGCACTCACCTGGGAAAAAGACAAACATCTGGTCAGTGGGGTCATCATTGTGGGCCACCAGCACTGTGAGGTCAGTGCGCCGTGGCCGCCCTTCACTTGGCTTGTCCCCAAACTGGGCCTTGAACTCCTCCAGTGTCTGGTCCAGTTCATCCTGAGTTACTAGGTAGCCTCGGTCATGGCACAACTGTGAACAGAAAAGAGCCAGGTGACCCCAGAAATGGCAGCAAGAGCTGAGGCCAAACAAGGCCACTGTGAGGACAACACAGGAAGTTTGGGGCTCAGTGTGTCAGGTGTGTGTAGAGGCCAGAGAAGAGAGATAGGGCAGGTGAGGACAAAGATGGAGAGCGCCCTAAGTCAGCCCTTGTGCCAATCAAGCTAATCAGCTGCCATGGTGGTGTCACATTATCCTGAACCTTGGGGAGAGACTGTGATTGGGAAGCAGCTGCAGAGCTGGGACTTCGGGTGGGGCTATTTGAGCCCAGAGTTGGGGCCCTGGGGTCTGGGGCAGATGAAGACAGCTAAGTGGGTGGGAGGGGTGTTGCTAGGCTGGCTGGGCAGACACTGGTTAAGAAACCAGACAACAGCTTGAGGGCCAGCAGTTCTAGGTCTCATCTCAGAAATCGGGGCTCTGTGAGTGGGCTAACAGGAAGAAGACCCAAATGGAGAAAGGGGTGCCTCTCCTCAGCCTGGCCCCTCCACTCCCTTTCCTCTGTGAAATCTCCACAGCCTGATTCTCTCTCAGGACCCCAACACTGTTGGCCTATAGCACAACTGTTTCAGTCCTTGTGTTTGGGGTAGTTTTGCAAAGCAGTGAAGAGGCTGGGTTTGGCTGTCTAGGCTTAAACCTGGCAGAATTCTTTCTTTTTTTGTGTGTGTGGTATGTGCCCCTAGCAGGAACCAAACCCGGGACTCTCTGGTCCGCAGGCCAACACTCAACCGCTGAGCCAAACTGGCCAGGACAAACTTGGTAGAAATCTTACGAGGGGAATGCAAAAGCAGAAGTGGGCTTCTGGGTATTACAATGGCCCCCTTCCTTTTTTTTTTTTTGTTCAGATAGAGTGGGAGGGAGAGAGAGAGAGAGAAACATTGATGTGAAAGGGACACATCGAGTGGCTGCCACCCGCACGACCAACCAGGGCCGGGGACAAACTGCAACCGAAGTACGTGCCCTTAGCGGGAACCAAACCCGGGTCTCTCCGGACCGCAGGCCGACGCTCTAACCGCTGAGCCAAACTGGCCAGGGCACAATGGCCCCCTTCCATGGGGTGGCTTAAAACATGTAGCATGTAATGACTCCTCAGCGGGCTTGCTGCTTCACTCCATCCTGAGTAACTCAAGTTGGTGGGTAAAGCATTGAAGTAGTCACCAAAGAGGTCAGAGAGAGATGTCTGCACTAGATAGTGGCAGGTCAGACCAGCTGACCTAGGTTCCTTGATGCCCTATAATCCTGGGATTCTGTCTTATGCACTTGGGGTAGTGCTGGAACCTTCCAGAAAATAAAGGGGTTCTATGGAAACCTTACAGGATGATCTTATCATAAATTCCTAACTGGGCAGGCCATGGTGGGTAGGCATGGCCCAGATCTATAACTTTTTTTTTAATCCTCACCCGAGGACATTTTCCCATTTTTTGTTCAGAAAGAGGAGGAGGGAGGGAGGGAGGGAGGGAGGGGAGATAAACACACCGGCATGACCCAACCAGGGCTGGGGACAAACTGCAACTGAGGTACATGCCCTTAGCAGGAACCGAACCCAGGTCTCTCTGGACTGCAGGCTGATGCTCTGACCACTGAGCAAAACGAGCCAGGGCCAGATCTATAACTTTTTTAGTAAAAGGTTTATCTTTGACCTGGCTGGTGTGGCTCAGTGGATCGAGTGTCATCCCATGGACTGAAGTTCCAGTTTGATTCCCGGTCAGGGTACATGCCTGGGTTGCAGGAGGCAGCCGATTCATGTTTCTCTCTCACATCTATGTTTCTCTCACTCTCTCCTTTAAAAACAAAACAAAAAAAAAAAAAAACGTATTTTAAAAAGGTTTATCTTTGGCCATGGCCAGTTTGGCTCAGTGTTTAGAGCGTTGGCCTGTGGACTGAAGGGTCACAGGTTTGATTCCAAGTCAAGGGCAATTACCTGGGTTGCAGACTTGACCCTTGGCCCCAGTCTGTCATGTGGGAGGCAACCAATCATGAGTCTCTCATAGTCAATGTGCCCCCCCCTCTAAAACTCAAAGGAAAAATGTCCTAGGTGAGAATTAAGGGAGAAAAAAAAAAGGTTTATCTTTGTCTTAAGCAAGCCCTGTCCATTGTTCTTGTGCTTACAAGTAACACAACTTTGAATTATGCGTGACCACCCTCAAGAGAGCACACGATCTTGTTAACTATCTGTAATCCAATCCTTACATTGTTTTCTCCCACCTTCAAGTAATCTTCCATGCATTTCCTCCCTAATTCCAAATGCATAAAAGAAACTGCAAAATTGTTCTTCTCTGACGTATTTGAGATCTTGCTTCCTGGCATGTCGTTAGTTTTGCTTCAAACAGACTTTTTATTGTTATGTATTACTATTATTTTTTCCCTTTTTCTTTATTGATTTTAGGGAGAGAGAGAGGAAGGGAGAGAGAGAGAAACATTGATGAGAGAGAACAGTGATTGGCTGCCTCCTGCATGCTCCCCACTGGGGATGGGGCCCACAACCTGGGCATATGCCCGGACCAGGAACTGAACTGGCGACCTCTTGGTGGATGGGTCAACGCTCAACCGCTGAGCCACACTGGCCAGGCTACTATTATGTTTTTTTAAATGTTTTTATTGATTTTGAGAAAGAGAGAGAGAGAAACATCGATGAAAAAGAAACATCCATCAGCTGCCTTCTGCATGCCCTCCCACCGGGATCAAGCCCCCAACCTGGGCATGTGCCCTGACCTGAATCGAACCGGCGACCTCTCGGTGCATGAGAGGACGGCTCAACCAAAGGAGCCATAATGGCCACGGCTTACATCGAATTGAGAGAAAAACATCGATACACCGACGGGGGATCAACCATAGCCTAGGTATGTGCCCTGACCAGGAGTGAAACCCGCAACTTTTTGGGGTACAGAAGAACACTCCAATCAACTGAGCTACCCGCCAGGGCTCAGTTAAACTCTTACAGAAAGTTCTTTACAGGTCTGCACGTTCTTTACGTTTGGATAAGACCCTAACGCGAAGAGACAGAGAGCATCCCGGGCACAGACCCCAAACTCCTGTCCCTGCTTCCCTTGGACTCACGACTGAGTCACTGAGGTCCGCCCTCACTGCTCTCGCCAAATAGGGGACCCCACGCGCTCACCTGCATAATGGTCTTGCGAATCTTCCACAGCCGGTACGTTTCCTCCTCGTCGTCCATGCCTGCCGCCGCTCGCACTCACTGCGCCTGTGCCCGGCAGGACCCGCGCTACTGCGCCTGCGGCGAGCCCCGGTCAGGCCCCCTCAGCCTCTCTGTTTAGGGCTGTCGCCAGCGAACGCCTGAATGCAACGACCTTCGGTAGAGGCAGTGCCAAAGGCAACCCAAGCCTCCTGAGAGTGGCTGTTGGCTGCGCCAGAGACGTGCAAACGACACCGCCCACTCGCAACTCCGAAGTGCTCACGTGCCTTCGGCTGCATGGCTTCTCTGGTTAAATTTTCCTCTCAACACCCGCCTCTGGGCGGCAGTTTAGAATTGTGATAGGCATGAAGGAGAAAAATGAGGGCGGGGAAACTAAGGCCTAGACCGGGCCAGGGGTCTGCTCTCCTACCAGGACCGGTGGGGCTGCGTAGTAGCTCCTCCAAAGGTATTTGTTCATTCAGCCGTAGGTGGTCCTCTCAGTTGGCTCTGGGCCATGTGCAACCTAATGGTCCCGTCCTCAGTTTTTCCGTCATAAACTGTCCCCATTTAAGAAGGTTATCACACCCTGGCTGAGTAGCTCAGTTGGTTAGAGCATTGCATGTTTGGATAAGCAAAGGCTGCCAGTCTGATCCCAGGTTAGGGCACGTAGAAGAATCAATCAGCCTGGCCCTGTGTGACCCAGTGGTTGAGCGTTGACCCCATGCACCAAGAGGTCCCCGGTTTGATTTCCGGTCAGGGCTCATGCCCAGATTGTGGGCCAAATCCCTAGTGGGGGGCATGCAGGAGGCGGCCAATCCACGTTCTCCCTCTCCCTCTCCCTTCCTCTTTCTCTAATATCAATAAATAAATTTTTATTTTTATTTTTTTATCCTCACCCGAGAACATTTTTCCATTTTTTTGTTCAGGTAGAGTGGGAGGGGGAGAGAGGAACAGAGAGAGAGAGAGAAACATCGACGTGAAAGGAACACATCGAGTGGCTGCCACCCGCACAACCAACCAGGACCGGGGACAAACTGCAACCGAGGTACATGCCCCCAGCGGGAACCGAACCCGGGTCTCTCAGGACCGCAGGCCAACGCTCTAACCGCTGAGCCAAACCAGCCAGGGCAATACATTTTTTTTTTTTAAAAAAGAATTAATCAGTGGATGCATAAATAAGTGGAAAATAAATAAGTTTCTCACCCTGGCTGGTTTGGCTCAGCGGTTAGAGCATCAGCCTGCAGTTCAGAGAGACCTGGGTTTGGTTCCCGCTAAGGGCACGTACCTCGGTTGCAGTTTGTCCTCGGCCCCGGTTGGGTTGTGCAGGTGGCAACCACTCGATGTGTCCCTTTCATGTAGATGTTTCTCTCTCTCCCTTCCTCTCTCTCCCTCTCCCTCCTACTCTATCTGAACAAAAAATGAAAAAATGTCCTCGGGTGAGGATAAAAAAAAAAAGTTTCTCTCCCCACCCCTTTTTCTTTCTCTAAAAAAATCACAAACTTAAAAAAATAAAAGGATCAACTGAGAATCTAAAGGAATGACTCCAGCCGGCCTGGTGTGGTTGAGCATCAACCCATGCAACAAGAGGTCACCAGTTCGATTCCTGGTCAGGGCACATGCTGGGATTGTGGGGGAAATCCCCAGTGGAGGGCATGGAGAAGGTGGCCTATCAATGTTCTCTCTCATTGATGTTTCTATCTCTCCCATTCCCTTTCTCTCTCTGTAAAATCAACAAAGGAAAAAAATTTTTAAAAAGGAACAACATGCTTGGAATGAGGTTGTCATAGCTCCTAGTGCTTATGACATGCTTCTACCTCTGTCCTCTCCCCTTCCTGTCCCCTGAGTGCCAATCCTGATTCTGCTGGATCTCTCCCTGAGTTCATACGGAGGCTCACCCAGTCCAGCCCCAGCCACGTTGGAGGCCATCAGTAACTTCTCAATCAGTAAAACATTCATTCAATCAGATATTTACTGAACAACCACAGGGCAAGCATCCCTTACATTCCAGGAGGAGACAGAATAGACATAGTGAACATAATAGATGATAATGTGAAAAGGTGACAATGTTTTGTAAGAAGAGCTAGGCCGACTATGGGAAATAGAAGGTTTGTAGTGTCAGACAGGAGGTTAGGAAAGGAAAGGAGAGGTTCCAGCAAAGGCCCAAAAGAGCAGAGGGAGGGAGGTGGGGCTGTCTGGAGGAAAGTGTATCAGGCAGAGGGTACAGTATGTGCCAAGGCTCTGAGGCTGCACCTTACCTGGTTGGCAACAGGAGGCCTGTGGGGGCAGGGTAGGAGAGGAGGTCAAAGGGTGGGGTGAGTCAAATCTAGGAGGCCCTGTTGAAAGTTTGGGTTTTATTTTCAGGGAGACCAGGGAGAGGGCTGGGGAGGATGTCCTGTGTGGAGAGTGGGGAGCAGTGGTCCAGGTCCAGGTGTCCTGAAAGAAGCACACACAGGATTTGCATGAGATGAGTGAATACAGAGCTGCCCTGACTGGAGTGGAAAGACTCAGGGGGAAGATAGGGAAGGGATCTTTGATGTGTAGAGCTTAGGGGGCTCTGTTGAGACCCCAAGGAGAGACATTGGGGAGAGGAGGATAGGAGTCTGGAATTCAAGGTGAGCTCCAAGTGGAGACAGACATGTGGGCACCAAGGGCACACGGTAGAGACTGAAGGTGGGAGCCTTCCAGAGCCAGACCAGAGGCCAGGAGGAGAAAAGGGAGCAGTAGACCTTGGACCAGTTGCCTGGGCTCCAATCTTGGCTCTGTGACCCAAGGCAAGTTACTTAACCTTTCTGTGCCTCATTACCTCCCTCCCCCCTGCCAAGAACAGTACCCATTTCCTAGGGTGACCTGGCTAATGACCGAGTGCCTAACACTGGCGTTATATAAGTGATCTTACATAGAATAAAGGGTAGCAGGAATTTACCAGGTGTCCTGGGACCAGGTGAAGAAGATGTCTGGAGGAGGAGTAGGGAGCAGCCATCAAAGTCACCAAGCAGTGTGTCTGAATAGGCCTGAGGACTGGGCAGAGGTTTAGCCAAGTGGACACTGTGTTGTTCATGATCATGAGAACAGATTCAAGGAAGGGATGAACACCTGGATGGGGCAGGTTTGCAGGAGGCAAGGAATTGGAGATGTGACTAGATGCAAAGAGGAGCATGAGAGTGAGCCCTGGCCAGTGTTGCTAAGTGGTTAGAGCGTCACCACTCTCTCCCCACATGGAAGGGTCATGGGTTCGATTCCCAGTCAAGGGCACCTGCCTGGGTTGCAGGTTCATCTCTAGCCCCAGTGGGGGTGTGTGCAGGAGGCAACCAATCGATGTGTCTCTTCAATTTTGTTGTTGTTGTTGTTCAGATAGAGTGGGAGGGAGAGAGAAAGAGAAACATCGACGTGAAAGGGACACATCGAGTGGCTGCCACCCACACAACCCAACCAGGGCCGGGGACAAACTGCAACCTAGGTACGTGCCCTTAGCGGGAACCGAACCCAGGTCTCTCCGGACCACAGGCCGACGCTCTAACCGCTGAGCCAAACCAGCCAGGGCCGATGTGTCTCTCTCACATCGATGTCTCTTTCTCTCTCTCTTTCCCTCCCTTCCACTCTAAAAACTCAATAGAGCCCTGGCCGGTTTGGCTCAGTAGTAGAGCATCGGCCCATGGACCAATGAGTCCCGGGTTCGATTCCAGCCAAGAGCACATACTTCAGTTGCAGTTCGTCCTCGGCCCTGGTCAGGGTTGGGCGGGAGGTAACCAGTCGATGTGTTTCTCTCATGTCGAAGTTTCTCTCTCTCTCCCTTTCTCTTCTTCTCTCTCTACCTGAAGATAAATAAATTTTAAAAAATCAATGGAAAAAATATCTTCCTTGGGTGAAGATTAACAAAAAACAAACAAATAAAAGTTGGAGAATGAGCAGGTCAGGATGGGTTTTGACAGGAGAAAGGACTCACAAGAGCATATGGGCCTCAGGACTCCAGAGAGAACCTCGGTCCTGCCAGTGACCATGTGGCCTCAGCACCAAGGACACAGAGTGGCAACCTGCTCCTTCATACCCTCCACCATGCTCTAGTAGAGCCTGAGGCCCAGAGATCAGGCCCCAACCCACACACTGTTTTCTACTGTGGCAAAGAGTCTGGCAGCTCCTCAGAGTTACCATGTGAGCAGCAGTTTCACTCCTAGGTACATAAGGAGGAAACATATGCACACACAAAACTTGTTTAGCATTACAAAGCCAAAAAGTGAAAACAACCCACAAGTACATCAAGGGATGAATGGATAAAGAAAGTGGTCCATCCACACACTAGAATATTACTCAGCTATGAAAAGGAGTGAAGCACTAACACTACAACGTGAATGAACCTTGAGAACATAACACTCAGTGACAGAAGCCAGACAGAGAAGGTCACAGAGTGTGTGATTCCATTTGTGTAAAATGTCCAGAACAGGCTGTTATGCAAAGTGCTGTTGTCCCAGAAAATCTTAGCATATTGTTCTTGGATTCCAAAGAAATAACCTGGAGGACTTCTGTGAAATTGAACAGCTAAGTCCCATCCAGTCTGAGGGCATGGGGGAGGGAGGCACACGCTGGTGTTTTGCTGCCACCCAGACTTTCCAAAGACAAGGTTTTATAGAGTACAGAAAACAGAGAAAAACAGGGCATGCAGGAGGAGGGGGACATGCAAAAGCTGTGTGAGATCAAAACACTCTTCTTGACTGGGGAGCTGGCCAGGCTTCCAAGGTCTCTCAGTCTGCTTAACGAAGGCCTTCGCTATATTTCCCACAGGATGAGAGCAGGTGTTGGAGCATGGGAAGGGGCCAGTGTTCCCATTTACCATAAACAGGCAAATCCAGAGAGACAGGAAGTGGGTTAATGGTTGTCAGGGGCTTGCTGGGATGAAGAGTGACTGCTAATGGGGACAAGGTTTCTTTTGAGGTGATGGAATGGAAATTAGAAAGTGGTGATTGTCAATGTTGTAAATATGCTAAAAACCACTTTAATTGCATACTTTAAAGTTGTTGAAATGGTGAATTTTATCTCCAATTTAAAAAAAGAAGAAATCAGGCCACAGGATAGGCCCTGTCCAGTCTTTCCTGGAGCTGGCTGCCACTCTGGAAAGGTCTCTGGCCAGTGGGCAACTCACCCTCCTGGCTGGGAGACTTCAGCTACCACAGGAGCACCTCCCTGGAGCTTTGAGACTTCACCAAGACCTCATGAAATCCATCTGTAAAATGGTGTCCCTTTGGCAAAAGCTGTGAAACCCCCAAGGCAAACCCCTCCCAGAGCCTGCGGTGGACTTTCCCCATTGGGCAGCTAGCTGGGGCCCCACAGGCTTGTCCCCACCCCTGCTCTAATCTCCTATGTAATTGGGAAGAGGTCAGGAATGGGTTGAAGACCCCACCCTCCATCTCTCACCCTTGGTGCACTCCCTGGGGGTCTCTCCCTATGCTGTTTTTCTGGCAACTCTGAAATGAATAACAGCAAATAACAACAGATCACAACTTAAACAGAAGTGTAAACTGTTTTCCTAACAGACAGACCAGCCGGGATACCCAGTGCTGACAAGGGGAGGAAATGGAGGGGGTTGGGGGTGGGAATGTTTGTGACAAGTGAGGAGGCCCAGTTGAAACAATGCCTCCACACCCAGAGATCACTCCCAGAACTTGAGAACTCCGCCTACGGTGGCCAGGCTGGAGAGAAAAAGCCACAGTGAGGACCACTGTGCAAGAATAGAAATGTAGCAACCTGAGCGTGAGTGGGGGGGATATTCTCCCTCCAATGCCTTTACCACCCAATTCCGCCCATTTAAGCTCCCTGCTCTACCCTCTGTGACAGGCCTAGGTCAGGGGCAGAGGGAGGGGTTTCAACCGCTCCCCAAAATGAACCCAGCCCCCAGTCCTGACCCCACCCCTTGACTCTGCAGAAATGTTCATGGGTGGGTCCAAGAAAGGGATAAGATGTTGACAGAACACAAAAAAGCTGCACTACCCTGCTGTCCAAAGGTCAAGATCCAGTCATAGCTGGGGGATGGGGGCAGCCAGGCCTGCTGTGGAATTCCATGACTTAGGTCCCAAGAATGCGGTGGGTCATTTTTCTGCTCTCTGTGGCCAAGTGCCTGAACCCTGAGCGACAATCAGGACTTGTGAGCCCGGACGTGGGGCCCCTCTTGTGCTGTGTGCACACCTGCCTGTAACGTTAGAAGGGAAGACGTCGCTGTCGCTCTGGGGTTGTTTTTCCTTGTAAGCACACACCTGGGCGGTCCAGCGTGTTCTCTGTGGGGGTGGGATCCCACAGAGCCTGTTCTATATTGGCGGCTAAAGAGATAGTCCCCAAGGACTGTGATTCCCAGTCCCCTCCACTGCGCGGTATGGACGACACTGCGGCAGCGGTGCACCTGCTCCGACAGGGGCACCCGCCGCTAGGTGACCCTCAGGCCCTCGCTGGGTGCCCAGAGATGGTGCCAAGCGCCCCCCCAGTCCCGAGAGAACGGGTGTCTGGACCTCAGTCTGGTTTTATTGACATTAAAAACAAAACTCCCAGTTTTCAATGAGCATGGGGCGATTTTTCTGCGAATTCGAGACCCCTCCCCTCAGGTTTCCAGTAGTTTCTCAAGTTGTCGTGCATTCCGTGGCGCTATGGTCAACTACCCGGATAACTGTCAACCGGCCACTAACGAGCCGCTTGCGTGAAGGCGGCCGCCCACCCGCCAGCGAGCATGCCTAGTCACAGACTACAACAAAACCGTGATCCACTCCGGCTCCGCCCCCGCACGCCCCTCACCCCGTCCTCCCAATGGCTGTCGCTGTCACGCGTCACAGCACCTAAACAGCCGACCAATGAGGGCGCTGGTGGGCGTGCCCTAGGGGGAGGCGAGGCGAGGCGCTCCGGCGCGCGTCCATTGGTCGGCTCGGCAAGGGGAGGAGCCGCTGCCTCCCTGGTGCCCCCGCCGCCGTGATGAGCTTCAGCCGCCTGTGCCGCCTGCTGAAGCCTGTACTTCTGTGCGGTGCTCTTGCCGCTCCCGGCGTGGCCAGCACAATGGTGAGCACGGCGCCGGAGGCCGGGCCGGCAGGCCGTTGGGGCGGGCGCGCGGCCTCCATCGTAGCGCGCAGGGCCACAGTGACCTTGGGTGGGAGCTCCTTGGCCTGGGCGTCCGCGGGGCGGCCGTGGGGGCCGTGGGTAGCCCGCGGGCCGGGGTACGGGCGGGGTCCTGGCTCGGAGTCTTGGCTGGGCGTGAAGGGCTGAGCGGTCGGGACCCTCGCACCGCTTAGAGGCTGCTGCGTCGGTACAGCTTTGGGGTCTTCTGCCACTGGTACCCAGGCTGGGGCCCGGAGAGTGGGGGCGCCCCTTGGGCTGGTTAATCCGGGGTCACGCGCCTCGGGGCGTCACCGCCCCTCCCCCGCCTTGTACGCCTCGGGACATTGTTTGGTGGCGTCACAGATGGGCGGCCGGGAGCCCTGGCTACCGGGCCTTTTGTCCTCCGGATGTGGCACTTGGTGGGCATAGGTGCGTCCGGAGAAGGGTTGGCATGGGCCGCGCAGCCGCCGGCTCTCCGCGCCGCTGCAGGCAGCGGCGCCGGTTGCTGGGCAGGCGGCGGCGCCGTCGAGCCCCGGGGCGGCGGAAGGCTCCAGCATACTGTCGCAGGAGGACACGTCCCCGGAGAAAGGAGCCCTGCCCTGAGAACCTGGGGCAGGCACAGCCCGCAACCTGGGAGAGTAACTGTTGTGTGGAGTATCAAGATCCGGTGCGCGCGGGGCCCCCACACTCGCCGGCGGCGCCCACCACCCACTGGGGCACCTGGCGGGATCCCCAACTCTCCCTGGGCCTCGGTGTCTGCGGTTAAATGCGCCCCGCTGCGTAGGGTGCGTCTGCCTTTGAGGAGGAGAAACCCTCACCTTTTTCTTGCCCTAAGGTCGTATCTTTCTCAGCAAGGATCCACCTGGGATCTCCTTCTACCGTGGGGACCACGGGCTGGACGAGTGGGGCATCCCGAGGTCCGCCAGCCGCTCAGTGCCCCCTTGCTTTGCAGTGCGCGTCCCGTGACGATTGGCGCTGTGCTCAGTCCATGCATGAATTCTCAGCCAAGGACATCGACGGGCACATGGTTAACCTGGACAAGTACCGGTGGGTACCTACCTGCCTGGTGGGGTAGGCGGAGGGAAGGTCAGCGGTTCTGACTACCCCATCCCACCTCCAGGGGCTTTGTGTGCATCGTCACCAACGTGGCCTCCCAATGAGGCAAAACAGACGTAAACTACACTCAGCTCGTCGACCTGCACGCCCGATATGCTGAGTGCGGTTTACGGATCCTGGCTTTCCCTTGCAACCAGTTCGGGAGGCAGGTGTGTAGGGTCTGGTCTGTGGAGGTGGGGACCACAGTGGGGTACTCTCTCCTCCCCACTCACCCCAGTATCCCTGCTTGCCACAGGAGCCAGGGACTAATGCCGAGATCAAAGAGTTCGCTGCAGGCTATAATGTCAAATTTGATATGTATAGCAAGATCTGTGTGAACGGAGATGATGCCCACCCTCTGTGGAAGTGGATGAAAGTCCAGCCCAAGGGGAAGGGTATCCTGGGAAAGTGAGTTGGGGGAAGGGAGGGTAGGGCAGGATGGCTCCCCCAGGGACGGGGGGGGGGGGGGGCGCGCTACAGTTGCCATGGGGTTCCTTATAACTTCTTGCCTTTTTTGTAGTGCCATCAAATGGAACTTCACCAAGGTAAGGAAGGGCATTGGGGGGCAGAACAGGCCAGGACTGTGTCCAAGGCCAGTGCAGTGCCCCCAGCCCTCTTACAGGGGTCCCATGGTGGCCTCTTTGTGCTAATACCGCCTATCCTGGCAGTTCCTCATTGACAAGAATGGTTGCGTGGTGAAGCGGTATGGTCCCATGGAAGAGCCCCTGGTAGGTGCTTCTCCAGGGAGCCCAATGGGGGTGGGACCACGGGAAAAGGTATTCTAACCCTGCCTTCCCCACAGATCATAGAAAAGGACCTGCCCTGCTACCTCTAGCTCCACAAGCGTGCACCCCATCCGAGCCCACCGCCCGCGCCCCTCGGAGCCTTCCACCCGGCACCTATGACAGTCTGTCTAAAAACCAGCCCACTGGTGGGACAGACCCGAAAACCCGGCGTGCACCCCTGCCGGAGGAAGGCCCCTCGGCCAGGTCTGGCTCGAAGCTCGGCACCCCCATCCTGGCCGCCTTGTAGGAATAAAACGTACAAATTGGATTGCTGGGTGCTTCTGCCTTCCTGGGAGGTCATGAGGGTGGAGTTCCCTTGAGGTTCAGAGGACTGCTGCACCCACCCTGCAGCCCTGCTTCTAATCTTGGCAGCCCCACCCCTTAGGCACTGGCAGAGCTGATCCTGGAGGCACTAATTCCTCCTAACTGATGCTATTCCTAGCCCAGAGTTATAACCTGACTCCAGGCAGTTGTTTGGGGCCTGCCCAAGGTGGTGGTCTTCCCAAGTGGGCTGAGGTAGGAGGGTCAGGGGAGACAGTCACCCTGAGCCCAGCATCCACCAAGCTGCTCCCTGGCTGCTCAGAGCCATGCTGGGCAGGGCCTGTTCAACAGACTGGTATCTGTATGGACCCTAAACCAAGGTACCCAAGCCTGTTCATGGTCCTCATTTGGTGTAAACAGGGAGCAGTTGTTTACAGTACTCCCTAGGAGGGTGGGGAATAACTTGAGGCCAGCCAGTGGGGAGTGGCATTGTTGGAGAGTGACTGGGACCCTCCACCCCCAGTGGGGAAGCCAGCAGTAGGGTGGGGACCTGCAGAAGGTGGCTCCTGCTCACTTATCAGCTTCTTGGCTGGGGGCAGCTCCCTGCCCCTGGGCCAGAGGCCTAGTGTGCTCCCCAAAGCTCCCAGGAGGGAGCTGGTGTCCACTCCTGCTTTCTAGACCAGACCCAGCTCTTGAACCCTCCTGTCCCTGGGCTACCCAGCCTACTGGAACCAATAAGCCCTGACGAAGCCCTGGGAGAAAACTGGGACCAAAGCCCTGCACACCAGAAGTCCAAGGAACTGGTCTCACCTCAAGGGTCCCAGGTGGGCTTTGTGTCTCTAGTGGATAGGAGGCAGATACTGTCTGGTCCAAGTCACCACAAGCCTGGCTCAGCTGGTCCAGAGGCAGGTGACTTAATGCTGGTACCAGGACCACAGTGGACAATAGCCCTATTGGGTGGATCTGTCTTTCCCACCTGGCTCGTCATCCACAGGACCAGTGAGTGGTATGAACCCTTGTGACCAGAAGCAATGGCCTAGAGAGAAATGTCTGAGCAGCCACCCTGACCTCATTTCCTAAAAGCAGGTCTGGGCACCCCCCACCGTCCTTCCATACTGCCCCTTTGGGCCAAGGGAGCAGACAGCCCAGGAAGTAGTGAAAAGGCACATATATTTAAAAAAGATCTTTTTACATATATACACATGAATTATAAATACACATAGAAACCAGGGGCCGCCCACCCCTCCCAACTCCACAGGCAGATTCTGGAGCCTGGAAGAGGCAGCTGGGCAATAATTTAGGGAGCAGAGAGCAGGTAGGGGGGATTGCATATATTAATGGGGGGTCTGCCCCAGATAGCCTCCCAGAGACAAAAGCCCTGAGAACTGGGGGTTTCCTGAGTTTCCAGCTCTTGGGGCCACCCAGTTTTGTATATTTCAGGGGTTCTGGCATTTCTAGGCCTGAAGGGGGGGTGGGCTGGGGAGGGGAGCCCTGCCCAGGCCTGGAGGGCAGGATAGGGGAGGCACAGAGGGCAGCTCCACCCCCAGGCCCTGCCTGAGCCCCTGAGTGGGACATGCACACCTGCTGCCCCACTGGGCAGGGTGGCAGCATCTTGAGGAGTCTGCCCAGGCACCGGCCAGGAAGGCACTACAGTGGAGGACTTGGTTAGCTGGACGAGGGACGCCCCAGCCCCCCTTCCTCTCAGTAGTTGGCAGGGGGACCTGAGCCCTGCTCACCACCCACTTTGGTACAAAATCTTGTCTATGTAGATGTGGTGTATTACAGATAAATAAGTTTCATCCAGGAAGAACGCATGGCTGTGGGCCACAGCCCAGGCCTAGGAATTGGGAAAGGGGGGGCTGAATTGGATGACACTCTGTCGCTCAGGCCCTCCCCCACCCCCTGGCACACCTGCCACCCCTGCACCACTGCCCAGTGGGCCGGGGGGCTCCGGGGTCGGCACAGCGTTGAGGGAACGAAGCATGTCCTGTAGCACCTCCTTGTAGTTGATATTGCAGCCCTGGTGGACGAGGGCTGTGGGGTCAGCTGGGACATCGGGGGTGCCCAGCAGCAGAGTGGGCACAGGATCCTGGGATAGTGGAAAGGTGAAGGGTGAGGGCGCTGGGAAGACCTGGGCTGGTGGGCTGTATGTGAGGTCTAATACCTCTCCAGGGCCACAGGGCAGCGTGAGTGAGCGCAGGGAGGGGGGCGGCATGGGGAAGCCCTGGCTATGCACATTCTTGCGCTTCACATCTGCATCCATGAGTTGCAACTCCTGTAGCACACGGGGCACACAGCCCTCAGGAATCTTGATGCCTGAGGGCAAGTAAGGATGGCAGGTCAGGGCCATCTGGTGTAGAGCCCACCAACCATCATAACCCCTTCCTACTGGTATGTCCACTGGCTCACCAACTTGCTTCTTCTTGTCCTTGGTCTTGAGACGAACAATCTGTAGGTAGCTGCTGCTGGTGACATCAGCCATGACAGCAGCAATGCGGCCCCACACGCGCAATAGCGCCCCGCACAGCATATAGTGGTGCCGCAGCCTCAGGCCCTGCACACAGTCCTTGCCTTCCTGCACCAGCCGGCATGGCCGGTTCCTGCAAGGCAGGCAGAGCTGTTCAACAAGCAGGGCCCCACACACCTACCCTCTATGACCCTCAGGTTCCTCCCCAAGCCTTGCAGGCTCCTCCCCGATGCTAGCCCAGCTCATCTCTTTAAGTGCCACCTCCTGGGGGTCCTGGGATGTCCCCGATGCCCAAAGGGCCCCTGGCCCTGTGTGGTATATGGGGACCATCCCTAGTAGAGCTGCCCAGAGAAAATGGGGCAGGACTGTCTAATGTAGTGTGCCCCCCACCCACTCAGTCCAAGCCCGGCCCTCACCATGAGGTGTGGCTGCAGTGCTTCAGCGACAAAGTGTAGTTACTCTCCCAGGGCTCCCTGGCCTCCTCTGCCGACACCTAGGGGGACACAGTCATGTGAGACCCTGAATGAGAGACCCGTCAACACTTCTAATGCACAATCGGGGAAACTGAGGCCTGGAATGCCCCAGGTCAGCTCATCTAGAACCTGGCAGCCCCTTCCTGGTGGCCTGCTGGGCACAGAGGGCAGGCCTGGGGGCTGTAGAAGCTTCAGCAGGGAGGAGCCACAGCGGGGACAACTGAAGTAATAGGGATACATAAGCCCAGGAACACAAGTACCCTGGGGCCTTGTGCCTGTCTCCTCCCCTGCTTTTTTTTTTTTTTTATCCTCACCCGAGGACATTTTTCCATTTTTTGTTCAGGTAGAGTGGGAGGGAGAGAGAGGAACAGAGAGAGAGAGAAACATCAACGTGAAAGGGACACATCGAGTGGCTGCCACTTGCAGGACCGACCAGGGCCGGGGACAAACTGCAACCGAGGTACGTGCCCTTAGCGGGAACCGAACCCGGGTCTCTCTGGATCGCAGGCCGACGCTCTAACCGCTGAGCCAAACCAGCCAGGGCTCCTCCCCTGCTTTTGCCCCTACCCGGTGGAACTTCCGGCATAGGCTGTCGAAGGTTTCCAGCTGGCTCTGCCGGCCGATATTGGGCTTGTACACGGTGAAGAGCTTGCTGCGGTTCTGCTCAGCCAGGAGGCAGCTAGGCTTGTTGCCACGAGCCTGCGCAAGAGGTCTCATGAAGTTGGGGCAGGTATGTCCCAGGTGGGGTTCCCCACAGCAGACGTGCTGGGGAGGGCGTGAGGCTGGAAGCTGGACCTCTGCCCTTTGCCATACCCCCCTGCCAGCTCTATCCCCCCTTCCCCAGGGCTGCCCACCTTGTAGGAGAGGTAGAAGCCATCATGGGGGCCTGTCAGTTCCAGAGACCTGGTGTATGCCTCCTCCCACTTCAGGCCACGGTCCACAGTGATCTGCCACGGCACTTGGGTGTTAGAGGTGGGGGTGGGGGTATGGGGCAGGGGGCAGGTCAGGGCAGGCTAGTGTCCACTCACCTTGTAGAAGATCACCTGCCCATCCTGTGGGTGTCCAGGGGCCAGGAACACCTGCTGGCTCTCCTCGTAGATCTCCTCGATGCCTGGAGCCAGGTCTGGGGAGAGGATACCAAGGTGAGCAGGGTTCCACCGAGGGGCCATGTGCCCAGTATTGCTCAGTTGGCTCCAGGTATTGCTCTGGGCTTTGTAGGGGGGTGAGTGTCAATCCCATGTTCTCAGGTGTGCCGCAGAAGGGGAGGTTCCCCCAACCTTGCCCAGCATGCTAGATTGCTAGTGGCTCCTCCAGTCTGGTGGCCTGGGTTCCCAACCACCACCTATAGGCTACACATACCAGGTAAGACCACAGACAATGTGCCCCTCAGGCCCCCTCTCTGCACAGCTACCCTGGGGACAGTTAAGTAGGAATTGATGCCCTCTGCAGATTTTATGAATAAAGCTTTATTGGTATGAGGCCCCTTGGCTCTTGGCGTTCTTGGTGAGAGCGTGGTGTGTGGTGGGGTGCTTGTTGTTGGTTCCTTTAGGCCCCTCCCTTCTCCCTTAGTGGCACTCACCCAGGATGCCCATGTCGTATTTGCCCTCCTTCTTGTCTGCGTCGATGAGGTGGTCGAAGGTGTCAGAGAAATACTGGAACAGCGCATTCTGCTTATGCACCTCCAGCCCCAGGATGCGGTTGAGGAACTTGGTGATGGAGCAGTCTGGGGGGCGGGCAGGAGGGCCTCAGGCTATGTCACCCCACCCACTCTCCCTACCCAGCCCACTTGGAGGGTGAGGGGGACTCACCCTTCTCCACGTCTAGGCAGCCGGACCTGGACTCCCGCCCACCGATGCCAACCGACAGCAGACCCTGCTTCATGTCTGCAGGAAGGGGGGGCTTTCACACTTGCACCTTGCCCCAGCCCACCCGAGGTTCCTCTGCCACTAGTGTCCCTTTGGTGTGTGTCAGAGGATCTTTGGACACAAATCCACTCTACCAATCCTGGGGCCCCAAACTGGTCCCCCAGGGAGACACCCCCAGCTCACCCCGGAAGAAGGCGGCGTC